TGGATCGGATAACAGATATTATCTATTTGAACTTGGATATTATTCGTATACAGAAAATATAATAGTTTTTAATCATGCCTAGTATTTGTTGTAATTGTAAGGAAATATCGTCGCCGTTGTATACAGATTGCATTGTTACACATTCCTTTATGGTGGTGGGGATGAGATTTCGTGGTGAACATAAGTTTAAGAAATCAGATATCATTACTCTTGAACTGGAGCCGTCTAATACATATGATAAAAATGCGATAAAAGTTATGGTGGATGGTATTCATAAAGCATACGTGGCAAAGAATGAGAATGTGAGTATAGGAGATTTGATGAAACAGTATTCAAATTATCGGATTACTGCCCATGGAAAAAAGAACTATAATCAATCAGCATCTTTGAATCTTGAATATCCTTGGATAGTCTGTGAGAAATGTCGTGATATGCTACAAGCATCGAGAGATTATGACTATACTTATTAATGGGACTTCAGACTTGCAAGTAATTTTAATTTTTGTTGATCGATTTCACTGCGCAATTTATTATGAAAATTATGGCACCTTGTGCCTACTCCGTTGAAATATACATCGAGAAAAAATACATGAATAAGTTATACATTAATAAATCGAATAAATAGATATATGGATTATACATTGTTAATTTGACGCATTTCTTCTCGAACTGCCCATAATAATTGATAATGTTGAGCTAATTGAGTAGTACACATATTTAAAGTTCTAATTTTTTATTTAAAAATATTTCGATTCTTGATGCCATTCCAAATCAAATATTCAATATATGATGCTTGCAAAATTGCTAAAAGTCGAGGTGGCCAATGTCTTTCTAATAATTATATTAATTGTAATACTCCATTAAGATGGAAATGTGCAAAAGGACATGAATGGACTGCTAACTTTCACAGTATAAAAAATGGTAAGACATGATGTTCGACTTGCTCTGATACCAGGCTTGATATTTCAGTTGCTAAAGAATTGGCACATAGTAAAAATGGTGAGTGTCTTTCCAAAAATTATATTAATAATAAATTACCTTTATTATGGCGATGTATTGAAGGACATGAATGGACTGCCAATCTTACTAGTATAAAACACAAAAAAACATGGTGTCCAGATTGTACACATAGAAGGCCACTCACTCTTGAAATTGCTAAACAAATCGCAATTAGTAGAAATGGGGAATGTCTTTCAACTGAATATATTAATTCCAATGTTCCAATGCAATGGCAATGTATTATGAGATATAAATGGAATGCAACACTTAGTAGTATAAAAGCTGGGCGATGGTGTCCACATTGTGCCGGTTCAATTCCTCATACTCTTGAAATTGCTAAACAAATTGCACATAGTAGAAATGGGAAATGCCTTTCAATCGAATATAAAAATCTTGAAACTGATTTAATATGGAGTTGTGCTAAAGGACATGAATGGTATGCCCCTTTCAATAGAATAAAAAACCAAGGTGCATGGTGCCCATATTGCGCAGGTATACTCTGGAAGTTGCTAAACAAATTGCTTTTAGCCAAAATGGGGAATGTCTTTCTACAGAGTATATTAATACCCGTTCAGATTTGTTATGGAAATGTACTAATGGACATTTATGGAATGCACCACTTTTTAATATAAAAGTTTTAGGTGCTTGGTGCCCTTTTTGTCGAAATAAGTGTGAAAATCTTTGCCGTGAAATTGTTACTAAATATTTAGGGTCGCCTTCTAATATTCGTCGACCAGATTTTTTAAAAACATATGATCATCCTCTCGGATTGGAACTTGATATTTACTATCCAGAATTTGGATTAGCTATTGAAGTACAGGGACAACAACATGAAAAATATGTTGAATTCTTTCATAAAGGAGATCCCAATAATTTTGTCCGACAGCAAAAGCGGGATCAACTCAAGAAAGAATTATGCGAAGAAAATTGGATTGTTTTAAGGTATGTTTGGTATTACGAAGACCCATATATAGTTATTCCAGAGCATCTTCGAGAATTGGGCCTTATTGAGTAAACTTAAAACTTCAATTGCGGTTTACTAATCACTGCATTAATAAAATTGGGAACATTGTTCTCTATCAAAAATATGAGAGCGAAATTTCGCTGACCCGAGGTTAGGAATTCACAAAAGTAAATGTGGCAGTTAATTAAAAATTTTTTTCCGATACACATATCACTTCCATATCACATTTGTATACAGCATACACGTTAAAAAAATTGCTAATAGTATCCCTATTTCTAAAAAAAAGTTCTCAATCGGTCAATGTATTTTTTTAGTGGTGAATAAATTACCTAAAACCTCGCACATGCCATATCCCAGCAATCTAGCGGTTAAATGTTATGACATATCGCGTTTTTTGTTCCACCTTTAACTACGTGATGGAAATAAAGTTACCGCCTGATCGAATTTACGGAATATCAAGTCTTGTTTTCGTCATATATGAGGGAGGCTGTCTAGTTCCTCCGTGATGCTTATAAGGTCCTCAGAAATTCTGTACTAAAAATAGTCATTGCAAATGTTCATACCTTATCTGCCAGTACTTTTTTAGATCTTTGCTATATGGAAATTATGATATCACGCTTTGAATTTTGATTTGTACATTTGTTTGTGGCTGGCTAATGATCTACTGAATCGCATGATTTGCACAATTAGTAAAATGTTTTCCTCTCAGGTTCTCCGTAAGAACATTTTTCCATCTCACTCCGTTAACCGTCGAGTACGATGCCTTCAGTCTCTGAGGAACTCGAGACCTGACTTATTTCAGTCATCGTTTTCGAGAAATTTTACAAACGTAAAAGACGCTGAGGCCGGACATAAAGCCGAAGCTGTGATACCTGAGGGTTCAAAAGACGCTGAGAGTGGACATAAAGCTGAAGAAGTAATACCGGAAGTTTCCAAAATTCCAGAAAAGAAAGCGACATCTCTTGGAGAACTGGTTCAAAAGAAGTTTATTGATATTTCAAAAACCCAAACCTCCATCTCATACTTCGTCTGCCACTTTCGGGTGGAAAGATATATGGAATTTCTTACGAAACAACTGGAAGCAAGTTATGGGGATCGGCATATTAACGGACTTTCTTGTCGCTTTTGTCTTGGATAAGGTCAGTGAGTATCGCGTCAGTTCGGCTCTAGAAAATGGTACTAGGCCTGTGCCAAGAGTGATGATGGATGAGTTCGTTCGGCGAGATCAAATTTCAAAGGACCTTGTGAAAGTTTTTCAACCAGATAAACGTCATTCATATTATCATGTCGTTTGCGGAGAACATGGAACCGGGAAGACAACATTAACTCAAATGGAGGCAAAAAATGTTGGAAAAGGCGTCATCTATGTTGATATTCCTTCCAATTTTAATTACTTGGGACAATCCTTTGGAAATGCTATTAATATGTTATTCTTTGAAGACACCTCTATTACAGCGTTTCTGGTTCGAAAATTTCTTTCTTCTGCAATGGGTTTAACTGGTGGCGAGTCTGCCATTTCCTTTTATCAATGGGGGAGGGCTATGGAAATTTTTCGACGTGCTTCTGAAGTGTATAAAGAAAAACATGGAAAACCGCCGGTTATTATTTATGATAATGTTAGCCAATTGATTCCTGAAAATTCAAAAATCCTTGATATGCTTCAGGATATGGCCAAACGTAGTGCTGATTATAGAACATATATTGCTGTATTTGTCAGCAGTGAAGGTTCGGTGCCTAGAAGAATGGAATGTAGGTATTTATGATTTTTGGTATTCTTGAAAGAAATAGTATGAATTATAGATTGGTATTTTTATTTTAGTACGCAGTGCTTGGTCACGTGCAAAAAAACCGGTGATTGAAATTGGTGACCTTAACAAGGAAGAATCAATGGAATATCTGACTAAAAAGCGCAAGATCAATGAGGTGGAAGCAAAAAAATTATATGAATTGGTTGGTGGTCGTATTGTAGAGTTGAAGTCTGTAGCAGATGATTTTGTTGCTGGACAATCCTTTGAAGGTAAGAATTGGTTTTATTGTTTTGCAATGAATTTACACATTATACTTTGGATTAATTGCTTGACTTTATAGTGATTAGACAATCAATTTTAGATGAAACCGAAAAGAAATTTCAATCTGCACAACTTCTCCCAGGCGACCAATATTATGAAATAGGAAAAAATATAATTTGTGCTTTGTTGTCTTCTAAGGAGAAGGAGTTACGTTTTTTAGAATTCAAGAAATTTTTCAATAATGGTAAAAAATTAGATGAAGTGTTAAAAAGCAATATATTCACGTATCATCCATCTAAAAATACCGTGACCTTTCAGTCACAATCAATAGAATGTTATATTCATGAAAACGATAATATTTTTATTAAATAAGGACATGATTTACATAAGTAGAATTAGCGTACACTATATACAAGTTAATAAGTTAAAGCCCGATATGACGACTACACCAGCATTCAGGACTACACCAGCATTCAGGGGGAATTGTCCGTACACGTGATTATCCAATCACGTGTTACACATATAACTGGATCGGTTACTTCGGTAAATGATATCGGAAAAAACGTGATTCCAGTGATTGAAAATCAAACAATCAACGATCAACGATCCATTTAAAATGGAAGCATAACGATAATTATTATCTGACGATTATTTTT